CTGACTCAAAAAACTGTTCTTTTTTCCATTAAGCCTTTCTTTCCAAAATGAGAATGAACAAGAGATGTTCCACGGTAGCAAGAAATAGTAATTATCTAAATTAAAATCCTTGCCATTTAGCTTTACAAAGAGAGTGAAGCTAAAGGGAACTGCTAAGATTACAGCTATGAAGTATGGCTTTATGCAAAAATCTTATGTGTCTGTTCAGAGTTCGGAGTAGTGAACACCACTTGTTACTTAATCAGGGCTACATCAGCTTCCTCTTTCCCAAGAAAATTGTCAGTTCGGTGATGTGCTGAGCAGTCCTCGGTTCTTTCACTAAAACACCTCAGAGCTACCCTAGGCTTCTTGTTGGTGAAGTAATCCGTGTGCCTCTCTATTTTGCAGCTAGAGTATCAAGGGGCCATTTAAGGATTTAATCCTACTGAAAAGAGCATAAGGAGTTGGTTTTAGTGATCTACCTCTCTGTTTTACAACTAAGTATCTATGGACCAGTTAAGAATCTGGATGAAGAGAAGGGTCTTGTAGCCCTTGTGGTACGTAAGGCTGAAGTTGCTCTGCAGAGAGAGATGGTTAGTCCCAGAGTTGTCACAGGCTGGCTGCTGCAGCTTGAGAGACCGGTCCTCAGCTTTGAAATCACATCAGCATACCCTTGAACACAGAGTTCGGAGCATGACGCAACAGCATGCTCGAGTATCTTTTTCCTGCCTTGGTTCATGTTGGGCATAGAAATGTCATGGTAGGAGTGTGTGTGTATGAGTATGTGGAGGTGACCACTAGCAATCCTGGTATTTGTGTTTGCTTACATTTACTTAATGTTTTTACTTCTCTATACACCTTAATAAGTAAAATAAAAGCTACTGGCTGGATGTAGACATTCTGGCATCCAGGAAGGGATCCTGTGGATAAGACTTGGCCTTTCTTGATATTTTTGATTCAGTAATCAAGATTTGAATTATTTTATCAACTTTTTTTTTTCACTTGTCCGCAGTTGCCCATGGTTATTGTTGAATTGCCTTCTTTAACCAGAAGTTGGTGCTTCCCCTGGCTGCATAGAGCCACTCAACTTGTTTTTAAAAACATGTCTCTGGCTTTAGGGAGTTTACTTAAAAGTTAAAGAACCATTCAGGCCCCTCTGGCTTTGGGACCCTAGAAATGGTTTTAGTAGGCTTTATAGGTTAAAAAACACAGCCTCTCCATTGGTAAGCATGCAGACAACTTTGACCTGCCAGGGGTTGCATGGGACAGTGAAGAATTACTAACCACCTAAAATAATAATCTTCCAAAAAGGATGGGAAAAAGATTCTGTCCTTGCTGACATGTTTAGTAAGTTGATGTGTTCCACACCCTTGCGTATTCTCATTGTAACAGGTACTAAAGGCACACCCATGGTTTGGGGTGGCTTTCATGCCAGACTGCACTGCAGGATGCAATTGCCTGCCATCTGTATGTCTGCATGGCCCCAGGAAGGTGAGGGTTTAACCCTGTTCCTCATCTCCTGCTCTTTCATGCTGCAATCTCATCAAGAGTTCAGTTTTCCATGCCACCATGGGATCCAAACTGAATCCAGAAATACCCAATAGGTGGTTTGTGAATAGGAGGGTGTGGGCTCTGTTCAATTTTACTGGTCTGATTTTACTAGCGTTTTCTTCCCATTTGTATCCAGAAAGGTTTGTGTTGCACTTCCTTTTTTAAACTGTTTAAAAACTCAGATAACTCATACCAGAGTTCTGCTTGTCTGGGAACATAAGTATTTCTTCTCCGTATCTTCCCAAACATGAAGTACTCCAGCTGAAAGCAGGCAGGGCGAAGAGAAAGATAGGAATGTTTTATGTCCAGCCATGCTCCGTAGGTGGGCTGCAATGTAGATCAGGCTGCCAGGGAAAGACCACTCAGGTAGTCCTCACAGGGCAACCACCTGTCTGCAAAGTGGGATTAGGGGAAATCGTCTGGCTTCCAAAAAAGCAAAGGTGTTTCCTTGAAGGTCACAATAAAGAGAGAAGGGCAATTTGGAAAGGTAAGCGATGGGAGGCAGGTAGACACGAAGGAAGATGATGATGAAATGAGATGTTGTCTCACTGCACCAGCAATGTATCTCCAAGAGAATAATTCTTCCTACCTGCCACTGGGCTGGTCCCTCACAAGGTACTTTGCTGTGCAGAAAGCCTGGTCCTAAACTGTGCTTAAATTCTTCCAGCTTAGCCTTGTTTGATGAGCAACACTGCCTTTGGAGGGACATATGCTCCTAAATCTCTCTGTGTTTTGTCACTCAGTCTTCCTCGAACAGGTTTCTGATCTTTTCATTCTTGGTTGTGAGGGGGTTTTTTTGGGTTTGTTGTGGGGTTTTTTTGGTTTGGTTGGGGTTTTTTTGTTTTTTTTTTTTAAGGAGCAAGGCAGAAAGATTTCCAGCAAGTGTAGTTAATGTCAGTTTATTTGGCAAGCAATGTTGACTTACTTCCTTATCCAACTGTGCAAAATTGAAAAGACAGTTGAAAAAAAAGATTGATTTTGGAGATTTTCCCTGAACCCAGTTTTTTAATGAAAAATTCTCTGGAAAAGAGGCTTATTGCTTAAAGCCTACTCAGAGCAAGAACCCTTTTGCATGCTACAACTTGCCATGTATTGCCTTTTTCACTTCCGAAATTAATCTTACGGTATTTATTTTCTTGGCAGAAAGATTCTTAGTACATGTATTTAAGAACCCCAGTTATCCTTTCAGAACATCAGATGTGACTAATGGATTTCTTTAACTGAAACTGTACGTTTTATTTTGGATCCAGTTATGCCAGGCACAGGGAGAAACCAAAACTTAGCCCTTCATCTACCTCTCAGTTCAAGGGGTAGCTCTGGAAGCTCGTGGGAGAGGGAGAGCAGCTGGTCACCACCTTGTCTTGGCACGCCTAGGGAAAGCAGAAAACAACCTGCAAAGCCCTAAGGATGCCCAGATGAGGACATGAAGCAGCATGATGTGTCTGCTTAATTTCATTATAATATCTCTTCTTGTTCCCTTCTACACTCTGCTGCTTTCCAGATTTTTGCCCTCAAGGGTACCTACTTTGCTGCTAATGTTGTTGTAATTACAGCTAATTGGAAGAAGAGGAGGGAGAAGTGTGGGGTTTCCCACTGAAAATAATGACATCTGTAGGGAGGGGGGAGGGAAATGAAGAACTGAAAAATGGATTTGTGGAGGTCTTCAATGAAAACCAGACAGAAAAAAAGTCACTTAGTTGACATCTTAAATTTCCTGGAAAAAATCCCAGACCCTAAACATTTTTGGTATTAGCCAGTCCTCAGTGCATACATTACATTAGAAATTATCTGTGCTCCCAACTAGTCAAGACAGATTTAATTAGCAGCTTGCCATCCCCACTGGGAATGAAAATGTGATTATTTTCAGGATTTTTATTGATACAACTTGATTTCTGCTACTGCAAAATAACAAAAAGGCCATTAGCACACCTGTAATTTCTAACTCCAGAACATGAAATGTTGCCTTTTTTAGAAGGGTATTGCTTTTAAAAGTCAACTTGAGCTAAAGATCACAGAACGTGTTGCAGTTTTTCAGAGAACCAGGTAGAAAAGTCTCATGTGAAGAGGAATGGGATATGCAACTTAAACAGCTGCATGATTTGATAATTTTATTTCTATGAAACAACGTATCAGGATTTATCATTCAGTACCCGTTAGATTTTAAATGGCTTCACACACACTGGCATTTAGGACAAGAAGAAATGGCCTCAAGTTGTGCCAGGGGAGGTTGAGATTGGACATTAGGAAAAATTTTTTCACTGAGAGGTTTGTCAAGCACTGGAACAGGCCGCCCAGGGAAGTGGTTAAGTCCCCATCCCTGGAGGTATTTAAAAGACAGGCAGATGAGGTGCTTAAGGACATGGCTTAGCGGTGGAATGGCAGGGTTAGGGTAACGTTGGACTTGATGGTCTTAAAGCTCTTTTCTAACCTAAACGATTCGGTGATTCTATGAATTATTTTCTCCTTTGAGAATGAAACACAGGGAAGAATCAAGGCATTTAAGGGAACTTGTGTGAAAAGGGACGTTGGTGGTGGTCTTCTGGTGGTAGGTGATGTGGTGGCTGTTTTCATTAAATCATTCTCTTTCTTGGTGACTTGATGAAGCATACATCTGCTATCTGGAAATATCATTAGTTCCTCATTGATCATCTAAGGAAGCGATGTAAAAATTCATTCCATGCCATTTGCTTGTTAAAGTAGCAGCCAAGTGCTACCTACCTAGCCTCATTGTATGGAGTCCACCTTCCTTTGCCTGTTTTATGTGTTTTAAGTATGTAAGTACTCTGTGCTGGGCTCTGAAGTCTGCTCATACTGCAAAATATCCAGAAGGTGTCTGAATGGTTAATTCAGAAAGGTTTTCTGAGTGGTCCTAGGTGAGAGAAACTCTTTGTTTTGGGGAACTACATGTTATATCATGTTTGCCTTTCTTCTCTGGCAGACTGTACCTGCAGTGCTGTGGTATCTGCTGGTTTGCACCAGCTGGGCAAGGTCTTTAGGAGCCAAAAGCATCTTGGCATAAGCCGGGTGACCTCAGCGTGTCCCCGTGGGACTTGGAACTGGGAGGGAAGAAAAATTATTGAAGGGCATCCCCACTGTATAGCTGCCTGAGGTGTTTGAATATCCAGGTCCTCTCTTTTTTTTTTTTTTTTTTTTTTTTACCAAATGATACTGTTATATGAATGCCAACATTTGATGTGAAGCTTGGAAGCACATTTCCTGTTAGAAAAGTTTTGTTCTACCATCTTTGTTGTTAGAGGGGGCTATTTGCATGAAATGAAATGAACACACAAATATGTCTATCTACCTTGCACAAAGAACCAGTCTGCTAATTGTTGCTCTTCCTGGCTTTTGTGAACAAATTACTTTTGTTCCGATACTCAGCTGTGATACTACCTACAAGGAAAAGGTGCCACCAAAATTGATGATTCGCGGTACTGCCGCTTGCTACAAACAGGGACCTTTTGAATCAATTTTTCTTTCATATACTTTTGGATATCATCAGCGCTGTGGGTTTGGAAGTGAATGATGGGGTTACTGTGTAGCAGCTGCAGAGCAATTCTCCTAGGCAAATTCAAAACCCTGCTAGAAATATTTCACTCCTAATGTTTCTTTTGTAAGTGAAAAACTCTGTGTGCCTGTGTGTGTGCTACTAGCGATGTGCTGCAGCATTTCCAGAATCTTTTGAAACTTCAGGAAGGAAGTAGGTGTTACACTGGCAAGAGTATATTTCCTTTCTCAGATTTTATTTTGTTTTCCTAGCTCAAGTGAGTTACTATCAAACACATCTTTGAACCACAGACACCTACTTAGCAGTAGGTACTGCTACCTAACTCTTCCCTCTGTCATACTTACCTACTCTCTTGGGTGCACCTAATACTAATGTACACCTATGAACACTACTGAATGTCAGTTTTCTTTTTAGAGGTCTAGAAAGCTTTTACCTGAGGGCTTTAGGTTACCAGACCCTACTGTTTGCTCTGTATCAACAACCAGGGCTAGGTGAAAGTTGAGAGAGAGACTAATAGTGCACTGCATGATGTCCCTACCCTCTTTTGCTTCTTCACATTTACTGTCATTTGTGTTGGATTGATTACAGGGTTGTAATTACGTACAGTATTGGCTCTGTGTGTGTGTGTGTGTGTGTTACAAAATAGGGGGAAATTAATCATAAGCAAGTTGTATTTCTCAATGTCAAAATAATCTGTATTGAAACACTTTTGCAGATTCATCCTCCGAGAAGGGAGCCCATCGCTGACGGCCTATAACCCGGAGGAGTGTAGACCAAAGGATGCAAGCTAGTCTTGCAACTTCATTATTCTGTTCTGTTCTGGTTTTTTGCCCCTAGCTCCTTATCTCTTCAGTGCATGTTATTTATGCCTGGTGAAATCCCTGCGAGGACAATAGAAAAGCAGATCATACAGGCTAGTGATCCTCAGGATCCAGTTAAACTCTGCTGGGAAGCGTTATTGCCCTTTGTTCTGAAGATGCTGTTTGTGCTACCTATGAGAATCTGTTAAAAAGCCTTACAAGAAAAGCTGCAGCTATTGCTGGGGATTCAGAGACAGTCACATCTGGTTTGAATTCAAAAGCTTCTAAGCCAAATAGTGCTGTGATATTTTTTTGTTTGAGAATTATAGTCTTTTTTATTTGATTCCAGGGAATGATTTGTTGATATACCATCTTGAATTCTGTACTTTTTTTTTTTTAATTTTTATTGTTTGGTAAAAAGGAAATCTGCTTCACTGTTTTAACACATTAGTGTAATTGTAAGCAGGGTACCGCTGATACCAGGCCAGGTAGAAGGTGCCTACTCCCCTTTTTGAGTCAAGGCCAGCTCTTACGAATCCTTTCTCCAGCTCTCCTTGTGTGACTCCAAAAATATGTGAAAAATGTAATCACAGATTTTTCTGTGTACTTATTTGTATCAGAAGAATTTCAGTAGAAATACTTAATGGGTTTAACTTCTCACTGAAAATGGCTTTGTATTTCCAAATGATTCTTGTAATGAATCTGAACATCATTGTGTAACCTCTAACCTGAGAATAAAACCTGGCTTTTTAAATGAAATTGTATTTAGAACATGAATTTTTTTCAGAAAATTGTGGTGAATGGATGTTCAGCAAACATTACCTGATAATCTATTTGCAAGACTCTCACTTCCCTGCAAGCAGGTACCCAAACCTGCCGGGATCCCACCTGAAAGAAGGAACTGAGATTTTTGCACCATAAGGCCACATGAGATGCCCCGTGTGCTTTCCTTACAGCTCAGAAGTAGTTAATATGAGTTTAAGTTCCCACACAAACATCTTTTTGAGCTGTACAAAGACAGTCATCAGTTAGAGATTGCCTGCATGTGTCATTTCTGCTTTTAGAACAGCTATTTCCATTCCCATCAATATACAAAGCCTGTGCATTAAAATAATAACCTTACAGGATTAAACATGTTCAGCATTTGATTTTGGACGCAATGGGGAGCAGTCCATGGGATGGGATTGGTCTGCTGTTACCTTTTATAGCCACGCTGCTTTTGCCTACGCTGATCAAAGAAACAACACTCCTAATATGGACTCAGGAAGAACATAAGCAAAGCACCAAGCAAACCAGCCTCCGGAGAGAAATCGCTTTTTCATGAAGTATTGAAAATTAGAGTTTGACTGCAACATTAGCTGCGGAATAAACTCTCGAGTCTCTGTTGGGGAGAGAGGAGTTTTCATCTCTGCATGAATTTGGAGCTGGCTTACAGACACTATAGCAGCGGATAGTTTAACCAGCAAACAATATAACTGCGCTACTCTTGATTAGTGATTTGGCTAATAAGGGTGAGATCATGGAAAATGCTAATGCGGTGCCTTCGGAAAATCCAATTATAATGTAACCTAATTCAATGCGAGCTCTCAGCAGGTGACCAGTGTTGTGGCCAGAGCAGCCCGCACTCAAAGATGTGAATCCTCAAAACAGACGAGCTTCTGTGCGGTTGGTGTGGGAGGCAACAACTCCCCCGTGTCATTCATTTCCACTGTTTTCCCCAACTAACCACAGAGGTTTGCGCCTTCCATTTGTGGCGCTTAACTCATTATCTGACAACTTGTGCAAGCATTATCTGGCCCAAGCGGATGATTCAACACGAGCCATTCACAGTAAGAAAATAGAGTTTGCAGGGCTGCTTTTTTTTTTTCTTTTTTTTTTTTCCCTGTTTAGTCACAGGCTTTTAATATTTGGCTGGTTGGGCACAAGACTGTAAACCTTGACTCACAAAGATCCTAATTATGCTAAGTGTGGGGTATTCCTTGTATTATACCATAGAGAATTTGTATCTTTTAAAATGCATATAAAAGCATGTACAGTTGATTTTCCTCTCGATTTTCTTGTAATGATATATGTTTCCCAAATGCAGGTGCTGTCATCTATTTGAATTGGCATTGACAGACTCAAACAGCCCCAAAGGATACGCTTCCTGCAATGACCCAGACAAGTTCGAGGGGGTGAGTTATTTTAGACAAAATCAACCACAGTATTCACAACAGGCATTTTTCCTTCCTCAAGCTTTGCTGAAACTGGGTATCAGCACTCCCAGTTCTTCCTCTGGCCTTTTAAAGAACCTTCTGACATTTCCCAATTTTTGTTATATATTTTATTTTCCAAACACCTGCCAAATTTTCCATCTGGTTCTTCCTATTTAGCTTTCTCTGATATTTTGTGTATCAGTGGCGAGTGGACCAGTAAGGGCTGTAAATGTTTCTTTTTTCTTTCCTTTTCTTGTAGGAACTGCTCAGGGTTTGGGAATATTGGGATTACTATGCACATTGCAAGAGAAGCAATACATAGACAGAGAGTAACTTTCTTTTCAGACATGACCAGGCACTTATTTGAATACCTGAAGCCATAACAGCAGTAATGAGCTACACCCATGGCTTGTGCCCTCCAGCTTCCTCTCTCACAGTGGCTTGGGGAAACAAGACAAGCGTAAAGTGATTTTCTGTTAAAACTTTTCAGCAGTTTAAGGGGATGTTTTCACTCATCCAACAGAAAGGCCAATGTGACTTGGCCATGTTTGTCCTGCATTGGTGCTGGCCAGTCTGCCTGCCAGGCGAGATGTATCAGGAGCTCTTGACTGGTATCCCTGTGTGACCGACTCAGCTGCCGTACTAAAAATGCTTACAAGGTGATGAAATACCAGATATGTTATAAAGAACTGACCCATAATGAAGCTGATTACTCAGCACGTTAAAATGATGGGGAGGTCCGGGTGTTGGTCATCATCAGCCCTTGGAAAACCTCGTTACTTCTAGAGGGAGCCTGCACGTTGATGTGTGTTTGTACGGATTCTGAATGACAAGTTATGACAGCTAATAGACATAAGAAATTTTATTAAATGATAGATCTGGGGGGACATTTTATGTACGTTTTGGCATGCATTTCTGTAGACTTTTCTTCTAAACAGAACTTTTTCCATTTAGTTGCAGTGCTATACACTAAACACGTGGAGAAATTTTCAATCCTATGAATGAGAGCAAGTCTTCATATGTCAAGCTAAATTATCTGCCTACAATATTATTTTACATTATTTTCAACACGATATGCTGGATTAACCAAGTGATGTTTTGATTACCATAACAGTAATTACCCAACAGTAAAATAGGAGCACATTTGAACTCATGGAGTCATTAACGCAAATGAGGTACTTAAAAGCCTGGGGTCTTTTGGGAATTTTTGTCCCCTTCTTTCCTTTTTCTTTCTTTTTTTTTTTTTTCTTGTGAAGCTAGCAGATGTGACAACACCATTGTGGTGACTTGGAGTTTTTTTGTTTTGATTCACCACTATTTTACTTCCCAGGTATTTTAAGCTCTGTGCCTTTTCAAAAATGTATGCCGTGTTAAAATTGTCTTTATTTTCTGAAGGCCTGAAGTGCTGTTGGTGGCAATCATGCCAATGCTTATTCTGTTCTATTTCTATAGATATTTCTTTCTACTCTTATACACTGATAATGTGTGGCATGATACAAAGATTTCATTGGTGATAAGTAAGTTGTATGTCTCTATAAATCACTAAATAGTATCTGTCCTTAGTCTCAGGCTGTCATTTGTTTTGGGAAGGAAAAATTGTTACTTTGAAATTTCTAGTAAAAGCTGGGAGCGGTTTTAATTGCCTCAAACTCTGGATACAAGAGGAAGTGGATTCATGATAATGCTGTCAGCAAAGCACATGGTGTGCCCCAAATACACACCTACACTATCCTATAATAGGAAAGCTAGATATCCCAGCCGAGGATGAGGACGATTTGATAGATTACAGGCAAAATCCTGGATCACATTACTTTCCTCCTTGAATCCACTCACTAGTTTTTTGTCTTTGACTGCATCAATATTATATTTCTTGTCCAAATAATAAACCTTCCTCTCTCATTCATCTCCCACATAACATTTCACTCTCTCAGGCTCTCTCAGTTTCTTATCTAACTTCTTGCCTTCCAGAGGATGGCTTTTGCATCCTATAGAAGATGATGTTGCAGAGTCTTCAGCTTCTGCCCATCATAAACAGTTTTGTCTTCCTTCAAATCTCTCCTGTAACCCCACTTCCAAACTTCTACTCTGTATGATTGATTTATAAACCTTCTTTACTTGCAGTGGCCTTCTGCATTCTGGCATATCATTCTTGTTTGTCTTTTAATAATATCTAGGAGAAGGTCAGGGCTTGCTTTGTTTTCTAGATCCACTGGCAAGGAATGCCATCTTACAATCCCATAAGAGGAATGAATGTGTTATCCACTGCAATGCAAAGTGTTACACTGTTATATAGAGTCTCATGAATTACAGTAAGAGCACATCATCAATCAAAATATTTTCTTCTGAGGTGAAATGAATGATATAAGTAGAAGAACTAGAAATGCATGGTGAATCTGTGGATGAAAGAATGCACGCTACCCTTTGGCTCTGGAGTGCCGCACTGAAAGACTTTCACTTTCGTTAGCTCCACGTCATACTCCCAACCTCATACCAGTCATTACTCTGTCAGCATTTCACTTTCCATGACAATATGGTTTGGGAGATTAGGATTATGAGAAGCCCAAAGTTTCTGGTCTTCATCCCCCTCTCACTTTCTGTAGTCTAGCATAGAATGAGGAAAAAGCTGGTGTTTTATGACGATACCTTTTGGTCAAGTAAAGCTCAGCTGCTCCAACTCCCCCTGTTCTTCCCCCCATAGTAGACTTGGGAACGCAGCCTTACCCTAATGAGCTCGAAGTTCTGCCTTGCCCATGCCACCCTGTGCTGAGCTTGGAGAGTATCTCTAATCAGGT